CCTATGACACAGGAAAACTGGCCTTGCCAACAGTCTGAGAAACAAATTTTCTTTTCTGCTACCACTGCACATATGTACAAATAGGGCATTGAAAGGAATTTTTCCTACATATCCCTCAATATACTGATACTGATACTGACCTGCAGCCTTTCTCAAGGCTCTGTGCTCAGTCTGACGCTCATCAACGTCTACATGCAAGAGCTCCCACTCCTTCGGACACCTACTAAAGTGGTATCGTACGCGGGTGATATTATGTTCTTCTGCTGACACCCTCAGATCGATCAGGCTACGCAGCTCCTCTCGGAGTTCATGGCTGATATCGGAAACTTCTTCACCCAGCGCAGGATGACGATCTCGGTAGCCAAGTCGTCCGTCACTGTTTTCACGCTAAAACCGAAGGATTTCAATCGAGAACCGGCCATCATCGTCAACGGTGCGTCCTTACCGCTCGTCCGTAAGCCCAAGCTCCTTGGTGTATGTTTCCATCCGCTTTTATCGTTCGCGGACCATGCCAGGGAGGAAGCAGGCGAAGTGAGGCGCCCGAGCGAGGCTTTGACGACCGCATTCAAAGCGCTGGCCAAGCCGCACCTCACTTATGCGGCACCAATATGGTCTCCTACGATCAGCTCTTCCAGCCTCTACTGTCTTCGTCAGCACAGAACGCTGCCCTCCCCCAACCACGGGTTGCTATAAAATGTTGCCTATAGGTCATCTTCATGCAGAGGCTTCTGTCCTGCCGGTCGCCCCTCACAACGCACTCTTAGGTTAGCAGTTCTGGTGGACCGGTTCACAAACGGGCCATCCTTAGCATCACAATTGCCACGCTCCTGAACCCAGCCACAGTGTTCAACCGTCTATGCGAGCTCTCTACAAGGAAGCTGTCGCCTCGTGTCTCTCGGATCTACCCATTAATGGCTCTGCCATCATGAGACGCTTCCAGCGTCTTCACCAGAGACCCTTTTTCAAAGCCAAACGGAGCTACCTTCTCAGGGTCCTTTTGGGCGGCTATCCGCCTCCGGTTGCGGTCTCGGGCCAACAAGAACTCCCGAGGGTCACTCGCCGTATCTTGGCTCAACTACGCAGTGGCTACTCAATGACCCTTTTCCAGTACCAACACCCGCTCGACCCATCCACACACGACTGCTGTTCCGAATGCGGCGTCTCTCCGCATGACTGTCAAAATCTTTTCGCCGGCAGTTCCCGGTCAGGCACCCAAC